CCATACCTCGTATCAGCAGCCCACATCTGCTTTGTCTCTGCCTGCACACTACCCCACCCCAAATCCACACCCCTCTCCCATTGCACTGTTTGAATCAGTGAGGGGAGCATGCCCTGGATTTGAGGTGTTGTGTGCAGATACAGAATGAATATGCCATGTCTCTGCTTCCCAGAGGTCACGATCTAGTGGCGGTGGGTGGGGGGGGGGTAGGATATGAAATCTGAACGATAGCTCTGGGCGGTATGTGTCATTATTTCACTTTATAGGTAAGCGTACTGAGGCTCAGGGATGAAGTACCTTGCCCAAGGTCATAGGCTGATTGGTGGTAAAGCTGATTCTATGCCCGGTGGCCGCCTGCCATCCAACACTCAGAGTCAGTCCTTTCTCTCTTGTGGCTCAGCCTTGGCTTAGGCTACACCATTCCCAAATCAGGGGCTGGCTCTGTTGCCTGTGGTCAGACTCACTCCTTCCCTTCCTTTGGTTTCAGATCATTGGCCACCTCTGTCAGGAGCCCCTCCCTGATTTGCTGAGTCCAACCCCACTTCATCATGCACTTCATGCATCACCAGTGCACTGGTGATGCATGCATGGCCACAGCCATTCATGCCAGCCTCCTAGCTGTGGCCTCCCAGAGGGCAGGCCCTGCGGGGATGGCTCAGGTGGACACCAGCAGCTCCTGGGGTCAGTAGGTGCTTCCAAAGCAGTGGTAGTCTATCCGTTCAACTTGTCCTCTCGCTAAAGTGCAGCCACTCCCGGGGGAGTCAGGTGGGGCACATAGCTGCAGAGGGAACTGCCAGGTCTAGGTGGGGGAACTCGGGAAGGTCCGTAGCCTGGAGTTCTGATACAGGCAGAGGCACGCTGGGGGTGGGTCTCCCATCAGAAGAGCAGTAACTTCAGAGACAGTGCCTCTTGTCGCTTGGCCATTGGTAGGTCCTGGGAAAGGAAGTGATGTCAAGGGCACCTGGGTGGTTCAGGTGGTTAGGCGTCCAACTTCAGCTCAGGTCATGATCTCACGGTTTGTGGGTTCGCGCCCCGCATCAGACTGTGCACGGACAGCATGGAGCCTGCTTGGGATTCTCTCTCTCTCTCTCTCTCTCTCTCTCTCTCTCTCTCTGCCCCTCTCCCAATCGTGCTTTCTCTCTCTCTCAAAAATAAATAAATAAACTTAAAAAAAAAGGAAGTGAAGTCAAAGATCTGGGGGAGCTAAGTGACAGGAGCACATAGCCAAAGCACACCTTCACCTTTGCTCCTGGCTGCCTTCCTCCACTAACTCAGATCAGTGCTCTGGCAAGTCTCTGTCTGACCTGCTCTGGTCTCCAGCGTCAGGGCACATGAACCTCAAGATGGGCCCCATCTGTAGAATGGAGATGCCAGACTTGAGAGTTCCATCAAGGGCAAACACCTTCTAGAAACAGCTGGTGATGTGAATCCAGTCCAAGCCCAGTGGGCTTTAGCAGTGCTGTCCAATAGAACTTTCTGAGGTGATGGAAATGACCTCTATCTGGGCTATAGGGCTTACGAGCCAGCTGTGATGAGGTGGCTAGTGCAACTGAGGAACTGAATTTTATTTTATTTTTTTAAGTTTATTTATTTGAGAGAGACAGACACAGGACAAGTGGGGGAGGGGCAGAGAGGGGGGAGAGAGAGAGAGAGAGAGAGAGA